ACTTGAGCTCTAGACCCTTCACCAGCTGGCAGCACCCTCTGGCATGGCTCTCATCAGCTCAGGGAAGCAAACATGCTCCCATGAAGATCCACCACCATGCGCCGTACCTCCCAGCCTTGGCCTCAACACAGTGGGGGACACAGTCCTACCCAAACAGGTTTTTAGCTGCTGCAGATGGTACCTCTGACTGGAAAATCTACATGCCCAGAGGCCTGTATCATGCTTAAAAATGGTACTCAGCACCCACAGTACTGGCATATTTCTCAGGAGGACACCTCTCTGCTTTCTGCACAGAGCCACTCGTAATGCCCCACTCAGACCTGCCCCTCGGCCAGGCTGTGGCACAGGACAGACGTGAAGCTCTTGGGAATGGGCAAAACATTATCATGTTGCCATCTGTGGGAAAGACACTGTGTTGGGTTTGCCCACGGGAGGAGGGAGTTACCGGTGTGACTCCTGTAAGCAGTTTTGAGAAGTACCCCTTGCTCCAGGTTAGACTCACCTCTGACCAAGACCAAGCTAGTCAGTGCCTCTGCAACAGCTTAAGAGAGTAAAACCTGATGGGCCATTTCCTTTGTTTTGGGAGCTCTTTTGTGTTGCAGAGGAGATGTGGTAGAGTCCCCATGGGGGCACTAAGGTAAGTGAGGAAGGAGAAGGGAGGCACACTGGAGCAGTCATTTGCCTTTCACCCATGATGGGATGGCAGGCTGAGCCCCTGAAGCCCTCAGACATCAACAGTGGAGCAGAATCCTATGTGTGGCCCACAGAGGAGCCCATTCTGGAGTAGGGGACTGATCCCAAAGGAGGCCCTAACTCTGAGGGAAGCCCAGACTGGAGCGATCCATCACGGGGAAGATTATGGCCCGCAAAGGGACTCACTGTAGTTGGAGAAGTTTGTGGAGGACTGTCTCCCATTGGGAGGGACACTGATGCAGCAGACAGGGACTGTGAGTTTTCCCCCTGAGGAGGAAGGAGTGGCAGAAACAACAGTGGACAGACTGGTATTGACTGCAACACCCATTCCCTGCCCCCTGCACTGTTGGAGGGCTGGAGGCAGAGAATCAGGAGCAGAGCTGAGCCTGGAAGTGTGGGGAGGGGTGGGAGGAAAGTGTTATTAAGATCCAGTTGTATTTCTCATTGTCCTACTCTGATTCAGTTGGTGAATTGGTGGTGGTTTTGTTGTTCAGTTTACATCAATTCTGTTTCCCCAAGTCAAAGCTCTCTTTTGCCTGTCACTGTAAACAGTGACTGTGCCCCTGCTGTCCTTTGTCTCAGCCCTCAAGACTTTTATTATATTTTCTCCTCCTCATCCCACCAGATGCAGGTGGGAGTGAGTAAGTGGCTGCATAATGCTTTGTTGCTGGCTGAGCAGGCTAAAACATGACAGTCACCCAGCAAAGGACTTTTCTCCCATCATAAACATCCATGTTTTGGCAGCCCCGCACAGGTGCAGCTACACAAGCCAGCCTGTTGGTGAGACCCAGCCATGCTGACAGCCTGGGTTGAGTCCCATGCTCAGCTGAGCAGCACATGGCAGCACTGGGCGAGGGCTGGTGCAGTGCACGCAGCAGTGGAGTCTGCCTCACACCAGCACAGAACAGCACAGACGAGTGAAGCAGAGGGGCTCCTCCAAAATCAGCAGCTGGTGAGGAGAGGCAATGTGTCTTCCCATCAAGCTTCCTCCCTGCCTCCTCCCCATCACCTCCTACATGCCAGCAGGCACAGATGGTGATATGTCAGTCAAGAGGTGTAAGTTGAGGTTGCAAATGATGTTGCAAGAAAAGTACGGAGGGAAGGGTATCTAGTGAATCTCTCTGTCTTCTGCACTGCTGGGCCCTGCTGTTGGGATACTGCTTTTCTCAGAAATCAGTACCTCCCTGAGACAATATCTTCATAACCCCTTGCTGGGAAGCCTGGCCCTGATCCCTGTGTTTTCAGGGCTGCTATTTCTGGTGCAGACTTCTACTGGCCTGGTCCCAGCCAAGAATACGCACCATGGTAACCTGTCCTTGCACGTCTATACAGGTGGTCTGTCTGAACCTCACTAGCTCTACACAGATCATGGACCTGCAAGAAGTCGCTTTCATTAGATCTACAGGACTCAAGGCTGAAGCACTGGTAATTATCAACACTTGCAGCATGAATACTCACACAGAGCTATGGGGTTGATCCAGGGCCCTTTGTGCCCCACTCTGCTCTATAGCACCATGGTGAGTCGTCACATGCCTGTTCCTTGTCACTCACAGCACAGTGAGAGGTGGGAAGAGGTGGCAGCACAGATGAGACGCTGCTCACCAACACCATGCTCCAGCTGCCACCTCATTTCTGGGTTCTTTGCTACAAGTTGATACCACCAGATAAAGCTGATGGCATCAACCTGAAGAAAGCCTGCCAGACACCAATACTAACATCTAAACCATATGGTATTAAACACACACAAGTCAGTAGCTCCAGGATTTTAAAGTAGAAAGATGGGAGTTCCAAGGTCTGTTTCCCTCTTTCCTGCGAAAAGCACCATGACATGTGTGAGTCATTCATCTTGAAAACAGCCTGTGTCCTCTTCAGATCCATCAGGAAAACCCAGGGCTGGCATTCAGAAAAGACCTGGATGCAGCAAACAGATAGAGGGAAGTCACAGAAAGGTGCTAGTGCACCACAGTCCTATTTCTGCTCTACGGTGGGGACAGAAAAAAAAAGTGTGCACAGTGAGAGGAATAATTCTAAACAGACAAAGGAGAAGAGAGAGAGAGATCAGTGCTAGCTAACATACCTCACAGCAGGGTTTCCATTATACAGAATATAAATGCCAGCTTCTTTATTCCCATAGATCTGATTGCTACGGATGATGCCTTTTCCGTTGCCAGCGACGACAATGCCTGAGCGAAGGCCACTGTGTATCTTATTGCACTATAGTTTTATTTTTGCACATGTAGAGGGAATAAAAGCAAAAGGAAGGCAGGTCACTCATAAAAGTGAGCAAGTGGAGACAGCAACCACAGAGAAAAGCAACAGCTCCCAACCCTGCCAGGGAAAAAGGGCAAATGGGTAATTAATCCAGATGCCAATAAATCACTCTCAAATGGTTAAGGTACACTTAACTTTTACTTTTTCTTTGGGGTTCTAGTACACAATGCCAAATTTCCCTTCCCAACATGCCTACAGCCCCTTCTTCCTCCATCAGCTCCTGTTGTCCCCTCTGATGGCTGCCCTGGACCCAGTGATGCTTTGCTCCCCACAGGCCACTTGACACTGGTCAGGGCTGGTGGGGGCTGCAAGTCCAACCCCTCCCCATGGCCACCAAAAGAAGGCCTTCGGTGGCAGCCCGCAGGAGCTGCAGGCAGGGGTCTAGCAGCAGGCTCAGTGTTGCAGTGTGGTGCCTTTTCTCAAGCTGCTGGATGGCCCTCTGCACAGCCTGAATGACTGCTGCCAACAGCTGCACAGCGGCATCCCTCCACGGGGGCCAACATCTTCCTGAAGGACAGGAGCACACTGGGACCCTCTGAGCAGGAGAGCAGTCCTGGCCTAGTACATCACAAAGTAGTGGGGCGGGAATGGCCAAACCAAGCAAGAAACAAACAGCAGATCAAAGCTGCAAGCAGGGCCAGATGTAGCCCATGGCTCCATGGCCGACCTACCATCTTCTCCTTATCCATGGGGCTGCAGCTCTGCCTGACCCATTGTCTGTGCAGAGCTCATATGGAGAGCTTGATGCAGCTACAGAGCCACTTGGATGGTGGTTTGTATCTACCTCCCTGACTCACCCTGCATGGTGAGGCCCCAGTTCCTTCAAGGATGACTACAGATACAGTGTTGAGCAAACTGACATGATCACCACACTGGAGACACTGCTGACGGGGAGGAAAAGCCACGCCACTGGAGAGCTGCTGCTCCCCTCCTGCCCAAGGCTGAGCAGAGAGCTAAGACCCTCCGCCAACTCCCAGGGTAGACCATGATTCCCAGAGCAGGAGAAACCATTTACAGTACAGTGCCATTTCTACCTTGCTTGCACACATTCATTCTTTACACAGAGGTGTTTGTTTCATAGTGGAACACTGTTCTGCCAATGACCAGGCCCAACAAAAATGATAGCACCACCAGGAAGATGAACCAGTACTCAGACTGTATTGTAGACAAGAAGGACACTCCATGAATGATCGCTGGGGGTACAAACAGATCAATCAGCTGGGACATAAACGACACCACCCCCAACAATCCCACAAAAGACGTGACTCTGCCCACAGCAGGTGGTACAGACAGAGACCCGAGGGTGCCCACAGCTGGCATGGGAAACAGCCAGAGCAGCAAGTTAAACATATAAGAAAAAGGTGCCCACGTGGTGACTCTCACCCGATCGACCCACGTTCACAAAGGCCTAAACAGAGCAGGGCCCAGCTCCAGGGAGAGTCAGGAGTGTCTGTCTGTGGAGTGCACTCCACAGAGCTTCCTGGTTCAGGGAAGACCTCCTGAACCAGGAAGCAGAACAAGCAGTTTGTTCATTGGCAGAAAAAATACCCAGTACAATGGGTTCATAGCATGCACATCAATTTTAAGACACATACCATGAAACAGAGCAGGAGACCATAAATCCTTGGGGTTATCTGTAGTCTAATTCATCAACAAAAATGTAGGAAACAGGCTGAAGGGCAAAGCTAACAGAAAGGTCAGTGTTTGCTATACTGGGAGATGGATCCCTGCTGCTCCTTGGAGCGAAACAGCACATGAGAGAAAGATCATGATGCCAGGTATGAAGGGGTACATACCAGAACAAGGGGGTTGGCTCCCTTACGAATGTCCACTCCAGCCTCACAGTTTGAATGAATGTTGTTGTTGGCAATCAGGCCTCCTGCCGACAGGCGCAGGAATATCCCTGATGCTTTGCAATGGTGGATGTCATTCCTCAACAGGACAACCTGCAGGGAAGAGGAGAAGCAGCTGGAGCTGTAGTTAGAAGGACAAGGAGGAGGACATGAACAAAAGGTATAGCTCTTCCTTCTGTGCAGCTACAACCCCCTCTGCCCCTCCCGCAGTACAGGATGTGCCAGGCACAAACAGGACAGCTGAAAGGAACATCAGTGCATATGGACCAATGCTGTGGTTAATACCCACTGGCATGGGTCTGCTTGGGGTTGGGGATCCACAGCGCTGGGTGCTGCACAGCCAGAGCAAAGAAATCCTCTTAGCCTGACACACCCCTCTGCTTGATGAAGCCCGTGTTCAGGTGTTTGTTCACTGCATTGTGCCTGCACACCGTCAGCAAAAGCGAGTTGTGGCGACGTGCTCTCACCAACCACAGCCTGACCTCTGTTTCCCTTATTTCCCTGCTCAAGTGACTGATAGATACACCTGGTTGTATGGATTCCAGAGAGACGGAGGACCACACAACAGCCCAGGGCTGGTTTAGCTTATATACCCACTGAATCACAGTATAGGTCACTGTCCAACTCAAGCCAAATTTAGAAGAAACTAACTTATGAAATCAGTATGTAAACATAATTGTAAGCCTTGCTCCATCACTAGTGGACACCCCAGGGCCCATCAAGCTCTCCTGCATGGCAGTGGGCTGCACCCAGGATCTCCTCTGGAGCAGGGACACCTCTCAAGGTCCCTCCTCAAGGCTGAGAGAGGCCTTGCTGCAACAGATTCTCAGTAAGTGATTAACAGCTGCTATACTTTGATATCTTAGCTAAGTGATACAAAAGATTGATTGTGCACACATAATCCTTTAGACATAAACCACTGACCAAGTCTGGGGCTAGCACTGGATTCAGCCACATCTTGACTCCTCTCTGAGAAGGAGTTTAAAAAGCAAAGGGGCTCTCTCTGAACCTCGTGACTTAACAGGAGGTTTTTCTTACCCTTTGTATCTCTTCCTTTAGAGAAAAAGCGTGGACCAAAACTGAGACAAAGATCAGATCTGGCCACACGTAGAAACAACTTTTCTAACAGAAAAAAGTTAGAAAGCAAAGTAAGGGAGTCCACTCTGAACCTTGTGCCTCAATAGCAGGGTCACCCTGAGAGTTTTGTCTGACCTTGTCCCCTGTGCAGTAAATTATCAAGTGCACCTTGCTGTCGAATCTTGTTAAACTGCTGTCACATTTACCATCAATCTTTGTTAAACAGATGTTTTATTTCAACAAACACATTGCTGCTTCTGTCTTAGAAGTGAAGTGCATTACTCCATCCCTGACTTGAGTGACCATTCACGACCCCCACAGTGCTCATGGTACAGCAGCCCTGCCCCATCACCACGTGGGCAGTCCACACCCGCATTGGTGTCCTCCCTGTACAGACAGCCACAGGCTGGCCCCCTTCTGCAGAAGGGCTTGGAGGTGACACGTCAAACCCACAGACAGACTGGGCCAGTGCAGTACAGCATGCCTGCTCAGCACGTGACCTGTCTGTCACCGTGTGCCTTCAGGACAAAGAAGCCACAGTCTGGGGGCAGAAACAGTCCAGCCAGCAAACTGAAGTCACTGACATCACTCAAAACAACCTACCCTCCTCTAAACAAGCAGGTAGTTAAGTATTTATGCAGCATCAATCTTTAATATCTTCCAAGCAAAATCATGTCTTAAATCCATGTCTTACGAGTGCTAAGAAATAATCTACAAACTGCCTTTGTGTACCCCACTTCAACAAGCAACACAGATCAGAAGGTAATTAAATTGTACTTCCGTTTATTTGCTCATTCCAGAAAGGTGCTTCATTCATCCCCCAACCAAATGCAGAGCTTGACAGGGCTTGCCAGCCACTTGTCTCCATCAGGCACAGTGGGCTGCCTGGAGAGGGAGCTACAGGAGGTGAGAAATGCAGGCACCCATGCCAACTGAGTCCTGCACACCAGACCCAAACCCACATTTCTCTGGTGCCAGAGGTTCCTAGCTGTGCAAGGACACCAAGCCCTCGCCAGCTCCACCATGCTTCCACTTCATAGAATCATAGAATGGTTTGGGTTGGAAGAGACCTTTCAAGGTCATCTAGTCCAACCCCTGCAGGGAGCAGGGACATGTGCAACTAGAGCAGGTTGCTCAGAGTCCTGTCCAACCTCATGTGGAATGGTTCCAACTACCTTTCTGGGCAACTTGGACCACTGTTTCACCACACGCAGTGTAATAGATTACTTCCTTCTCTCTAGTCTAAACCTCCCCTCTTTTAGTTTACACCCATCATCCCTTGTCCTGTCCTAACAGGCCTTGCTAAAAAGTCTGTCCACAGCTTTCTGACAGGCCCCTTGAAGTACTGAAAGGCTGCCAGGAGGTCTCCCTGGAGCCTTCTCTTTTCCAGGCTGAGCAACCCCAACTGTTGTCAGCCTGGCCTCACAACAGAGGGGTTTCAGCCCTTGGATCATAGTAATAGTCTCCTCTGGCCCCATCCCAACAGCTTCCTATCTCTCCTGTGCTGAGGACACACATGTTGCATCTTGCCCCCATCTCACCAGCAGAACTTCACTATCTCCCACTGCCTGATGCGCTGACCCTCACCTCTCAATGAGAACCTCTGGGCTAATTCCTAGCTGAGCAAATCTCCACTGAAAGCAGCAGCTGAGCTGGCCTCATTTCCCTCCCATTTGCTACCAGCTGAAACCAGGCTGCCAAGTGAACTGGAAGCAAACTAAAAGGAATAAAACCAGTATGCAGTCCAAAGTGCTGGACTTGCATTTGTTGTTAGCCTAAATTCTGTGGAAACAGGCCCAGGGCAACTCGGAGGGGCTAAGCATCTTGATGGAACCACCCAAGGTGCCTCTGCTCCCTCCTGCTGCCACTCTGTGTCTCTGTTGGTTGGCCTTCAGTAGGGCACCTCTGGTATGGGTATCCCTTAGAAAGAAAGGAGCCACCCTCCACTGCCAAGAAGCAAACTGCTTCTGCACAGAAACAGGACTGTGCAGTCTACCCAGAACCAGGCAGAAAAACATTACCTTCCTCTGCCCCACAAAACTTTTATACGCAGTTTTTTAAAGTGGTACATTGGAAAGTAGCCCCAAATCCTGACCAAGTAGTGAGGCTGGTCTTGCCCTGTGCAGGTGACTAGAGAGGAGCCCCCTGAGCCCCCATGACACAAATAGCACTGAGGATTTTATTATATGTGATTATTCCCCCAGACCTCACTGCCATCATCCTGTTCTGCCTAAAGAGAAGCACAGGTACAGAGGGGGAGAGCTCCGGGCAAGTGCAGGGCGACTTGATGCCATGCTGAGGGGAAACCTCATTTCAGCCTCCAGCACATGCCCCTGACCACAGTCCTTCCTTACACCCTGCCTCTGCCTGTGCTGGCACCCAAACTGTCCATATATATAAGCACCATCCTTCCTCAGATGTTGCTAATGCTGTGAACCAGCTAATGGAAGGCTTGTGTGCGCTGCAGTTTTTGCTTGGCAAGTGCAAGGGCACAGGAAAACGGTGTAAGGATGTTTGTGCTGCTCATGGGCAATGGGTGCATTGGGACAATGGGGTGTGTAGGGTGACAGGACTGCTTACAGGATTGTCCTGCACAGTGCTGCTGGGGCTGAGCAACCCCGGGGCCTCCCTGGAGCCGTGATACATGTGCCCTCCTGCTGCCAGCTGCTTTGCTTGGAGGCCAGGACAGTGTGGGCAGCCATGGAGCAGACCTGGGGATAAGGACTCTTCAGGAAGTGCTGCCAGAAACAGTGCAGTGGAAACCAATGCATGTAAACCTGCTTAATTACAGAGTGCTTAATTGTATCTATTATATGTAAATGCAGAGAACAATGAGTAGGAGTAGCCTATATATATACAGCCATCTGTGCTGAGGCAGCCAGGACTAGCCATAGCATGGGGCAAGACCAGGACCTGACTCTGCCATCCCCAAGTCTCAGCATTCACTGTGCAGGCTGTGCTGGGAGCAGCAAAGGTGATGATCACCAGCACTGATTATCACTTCTACAGGGTGAAAGTTTTATTGGCAGCTAGAGCAGGCCTGGCTATACAACTGCAACATGCCACCAAGTTAACACCTCCAACTGCAATCACAGCCTTACTGCATGTGAAAAGCAGGCAGCTGGAAGCAATCTGCCTTTCATTTGGGCTGGTTAACTCAAGCCATGCACAGGAAAGGACCTGGTGGAGCAGTGGGGAGAAGGAGGAGGACTCGCAGCAGCTGTCACAGCACCTTACTGTTTTGTATGCATCGCACGGCGTAGGTCAGTTCCCTGAAGATGCTTCCTTCCACTTTTGCTTGCCCTCGTGAATAAATGAATATTCCTCCTTTTCCATCCCTGAAAAGGCACTGTCGGATGATGCAGCCTTGCAGAGAGTTGGCCAAAGCCTGGGCCTCCTTGTCCTGCTGCAGCTCCTGCTGCAGAGACTTGAGCTTAAGGTCCCTCTGAAGGGCATGCAGTCTGTTGCTTTGAAGCCTGCTGTCCATAACGTCAGCAAGGGTGTGACTCAGGCCATGGGCTTGACAGGACAGTTTATACACAGCCTGAGTATCCTCTTCGTCATCACTGAGTAACTCACTGTCACTGGAGTGTGAGCTGAGGGCCAGGTACTCCTCCTCTTCCTCTGCCACTTGCAGGTTCTTTCTGAATTCAGTGTCCTCCTGCGCTGAACCAAGCAGGGCTTGAGCACCTGCAGCAGACAGGAAGCTGCTTCGTTCTTCCCCTACAACAATCTCGCACGTTCCCACTGGCCCCAGCAGTGATTTCCCCCAGCCATCCCTCTTGTCCTCAAGGCAGTCATCTGGGTCAGGCTTCTGCATGGATGCTGCAGAGGACTTGGCCAGCACGGCCAGGTGCTTGCAGGCCCAGTTACGGTCCGAACTCGGGCAGCCCTCTACAGTCACAGAGGCATTGTCACTGCCGGTGAACTCACAGTGCTCCAGGATGCAGAGAGGCACACTGTGCAAGTGGATGCTGGACTGGCTGAAGGTGCAGAACTTCACCTGGCATGTCCCTGGAGCATGGATCTGCAGCTGCACACTTTCAAAGTTGCAATTGTCAAACTGGACAAAGCCTGAGTTTGTCTGGAAAGCAAGCAAAAGGTGTGATCACTGCACAAAGCAAGAAAAAGCAGCCCTGGATGTACCATGAAGTCATTCCACAGCAAATGAACTCACGCTAACAACACAAGATGCATTCAAGTGTCACAAACAGAACAAACTCAGAGGCACAGATGCAGTGCTGCAGCCTGAGTCAGCAAGTGTCTTGCAACAAGTGACATCTACTGACTTTCTTCCCTGCTGGCAATGATTCCTTAATTTCCCTGCCAAGTTGCACCTTGCACCTCCAGTCACACATGGAAGCAAATAGGGCCTAGCTGTGCCAAGATCACTAAACCTCAGCAATGGTCCCTACAGAGAAGAGTCTGCAGCCTTCAGAGAAGTATATTTTCCAGCTGTCATTGTTAATGGACTCAGGGGTATTACTGGGTGAAGCAGCAGGTAAGATGACATTGAGCATCACCTGGTTGGCCCCAGAAAGCTGCAATTGTCTCCAGAGCCATTAGTGTATCTGGCAGAAGGATGCTGCACCCACAATCTGTCTGTGCAAAGCAAAACAGATGTTTTGTGCCATGATGCTGTGCAGGTGTTACGTTGTGACACTGCAGTAGGAGATGCACCATCAGTTCTTCACTCCCTGGCTGTGGTTTCCCATTTGACTTGCTGGTACTTGCAGAACTGTTAGTCATTCTCACCATGGCGTGCCTGCTTTGCTAGGCAATTTTGTGCTTTGCACACAGCAATTTATGGTTGCTGGCAAACCACAAGGACAATTGTGTGGCCAAATATCTCTCTCCTGCACAAGCAGGGCACATTTCTGCTTATCTACATGAAAGGACAACAGAAAGATATTCTCACTACAAGAAGGACACTGAGGTGCTGGAGCATGTCTAAAGGGCAACAGGCTGGTGAAGGCTCTAGAGCACAAGACTTACGAGGAGCAGCTGAGGGAACTGGAGTCATTGAGCCTGGAGAAAAGGATGATCAGGGGAGACATTGTTCTTGCCAGCTTCTTAAAAAGAAGTTGGAACAAGGGGGGGGTTGGTCTTTTTTCCCAAGGAACAACCAATAGGACAAGAGAAGTTTCCAAAGAAGGGCCAGGAGGATGATGAGAGGGCTGAAGCACCTCCCCTGTGAAGACAGTCTGAGACAGTTGGGGCTGTTGAGTCTGGAGAGGAGAAGGCTCCGAGGGGACCTTATTGTGGCCTTCCAGTACCTTAAGGGGGCCTACAGGAAAGCTGAGGAGGGACTTTTTAGTTAGGTAGTGATAGGACTAGGGGGAATGGAGCAAAAACTCAAGTAGGTAGATACAGATGAGCCATTAGGAAGAAGTTCTTCACCATG